CAAACTAACTAACTAACTGATGCTCTGACGAGGATACTTGCAAACTAATGTTGTAACAAATAAATAAGTAGCTTTTTCAATGCATCGTTTGAATGAAGGAAATAAAACTTTAAGATATCAATACGTTTAAGGATTAATAATAATATCATTTAGGAGATGAAACAGTGGTTTTTTTTATACTCGTACGTACTTTTTTAAGCAAACTATACCTTAAAAATCTTAATTTATTATTTAGTTTAGCTGTACGAAAGATATCAGTGAGACGTGTACACGAAGAGAAACTAATATACTTCCATAAAACAAAGTTTGGGTAGTTTATCAAAGCCATAGACAATACACTGTGTATTTAAGGCCGTAGGGCAAGCTGTTATTGTTGTTTGTTTGTTTTGAATTTCGAGCAATGTTACACGAATGTTAGGCGTTCCTAATTTAGAAGGCAGCTAGTCATCGCCACTCACCGCCAACGCTTGGGCTACTTCTTTACCAACGAATAGTGGGATTGACCGTAACATTATAACGCCCCATGGCTGAAAGGGTGATCATGTTTGGTGGGACGGGGATTCGAACCCGCGACAAGCAGATTGCGAGTCGAGCTCCCTAACCATCTGGCCATGCCAAGCCCAGCTGTTATTGGTCGCATATTATCAACGTGTATACTGAGTTGAAATTATAAGTTTATAAGAGTTGATACTACACACACACACACACACATATATATAAACAAAAAGTTAAGTCTTCTTTAGAGAGATATTTATTTATATTCTCATTACTATACTTTAATAACCTTTTGACGAAACTGGTTTCATAGCATAAAAGCTACTCGCCAGTCTAAAATACAAAATTAAGACACACATTTTCTTTTATCACTTTTCTAAAACGTGAAACTACAAAAGAAAATACTTAAACAGTAATAGAGTAAAAAATATTTCATCATAGCGATATGCATATATTTTCATATGGTTTGGTTTGTTTTGAATTTTGCGCAAAGCTACAAGAGGGCTATCTGCGCTAGCCGTCCCTAATTTCGCAGCGATAGATTAGAGGGAAGGTAGCTACTCAATACCACTCGCCGCCAACGCTTGGGCTACTCTTTTTATCAACGTATAGTGGGATTGACTGACCCATTATAACGCCCCACGGCTGAAAGGGCAAGCATGTTTGGTGGGACGGGGATTTGAGCCCGCGACTCTCAGATGGCGAGTCGAGCGCCCTCACCACCAGGCCATGTCAAACCATTTACATATAAAAATAAAACTTATTTTTAACTCTTCTTTAACATAAGAAGAAATATTATACATACATAGCTATCACAGGGTTATGAATATTTACATATACAAATAAATATCATGTTGGAGCTCTTTTAAACTTTTAGAAAATGTAATTGTTGAGAACATTTAGAACACTTAATACATTAATGGTGTCTGAAATTGAATGTACTTTAATTCTAAAGAAAATTTAACCTCATTATTTTTATATTACTTTTGATATATCGTTAAGTTTTTAATCTTTTTGAAAAGTGATAAGAGGAAATTGATATCCGAAGTTTGTATTTTTAGGCTGAAAAGTGGCTCTAACTCTGTGTAATTATTACTATCAAAGGCCATTAAATGAAATAGAAAAAAACAAGTTCCAATTCGAAGACCGAATTCTATATTTGCTTATATTATCTTCTTTGGAAGTGAATTTTCGTTTTTATATCTCTCTATTGAAGTTGGCTTGGCATGACCTGGTGTTTAGGGCGCTCGACTTAACGGTCTGAAAGTCGTGGGTTCGAATCCCCA